ATCGAATCATCCCTGGCTAACACGGTGAACCCGCTCTAAAAAATACAAAAAAGCTACCGCCGAGTGCGGCCCCTTGTAGTCCCAGCTACCGGGAGGCTGAGGCAGAGAAATGGCTAAACCAGGGAGGCGAGCTTTGGCAGCGAGCTGAATCCGGCCACCTGCCACTCCCAGCCCCCGGGCGACAGAGAGAGACCGTCTCAAAAAAAAAACAAAAACAAACAACAAAAAAAAAAGAAGTGCAGGTTCTTATGGAGTTATGAAATGGTTCAAAAATTGGATCGTGCGATGGTGCACAACTCCAAGTATTACACAAGCCCATATGATGATAAACTTTCTTGTTTTTTGAAAATGAGTCTGCCCCTCGTCAGCCAGGCTGGAAGTGCAGTGGCCACTCAGCTCACGTGTAAGCTCAGCCTCCGGGTCATGCCATTCTCCTGCCCCAAGCCTCCCGAATAAGCTGGACTACATGCCGCCACCACGCCCGCTAATTTTCCTGTATTTTAGTAAGGACTTCCACCATGTTACCCAGGAGGTCTCATCTCCCTGACCTTCGTGAACGCCCGTCTCGCCTCCCAAAGTCTGGATACAGGTTGAACCCACTCCCCTGCCTGGTAACACTATTTTTAAATTTATTTTTTATTCTTTGAGACCGAGTCTCCCTTCTGTCCAGGCGGGGAGTGCAGTGTCGCTCTGGCTACTGCAAGCTCCGTCCCCGGTTTCCCACACATTTCCTCTGCCTCACTCCCGATAGCTGGATAACAGGCCCCCTGCCACCACACCTGCCTAATTTTTTATTTAAAGACCAGGTCCGGTAACCCAGGAAATGGCTTAAGTCTCCCGACCTCGTGATCCACCACCTCGGCTCCCAAGTGCTGGGATTATAGCCGTGAGGCTCCCGGGCCGGCCCTGATTTTTTATTTTGAGAACGGTCTCGCTCGTCATTCAGGGCTGGAAGTAGGGGTGACGACCACTTCACGCAGCCTTAAGTCCTCCAGCTTAAGCAATCCTCCGCCATCTCAGCCTCCTAGCCTGCTGGGACCACCAGATTGCACTCCAATCCGAGGTTAATTTAATTTTTTGTAATATGAGGTCTCATGATGTTTCCCTCCAGGCCCACGGTCTCAAACTCTGGCCTCAACAAATTGTTTACACTTGCCGTGAATGTAGAGTATGGAAATATATCCCATATATGTATTCTTTTTTGTTCCCTTTCTTTTTTTTTGAGAATGGAGTCCTCACTCAACTGCCCCTGGAGTACAGTGCGAGATCCTCGGCTCACGCAACCTCCCTGCATCCCGGTCGGAGCATTCCCACCTCCCAGCACCTCCTGAGTAGCTGGAACACAGGCGCGCACCACCATGCCCAGCTAATTTTTGTATTTTATAAGAAGGATTTTCACCATTTGCCAGGTGCCTCGATCTCTTGACCGCATGATCGCCCGCCTCGGCCCTCCCAAAAGTACGGGAAAATACAGGGCCTGAGCCACCGCGCACGCGTATATCGCAATATATTGTTAAAAAATAAGGTCGATATGGTTTCTATGCCTCAAACCGTCCTGTGGCCTCCACACGTCACTCAGGGTAAAGCAACTGAGCCCTCTAGGGCCCCGCACGACTTGCCATTGCCTCTGACTCGGCCTCCCATCCTCCCTCCTTGGTTACCGCTTTTAGCCACGTGGCCTCTTCGCTGATCCTCACATCATCTACAGCCTACGTTTTTTTTTTTTTTGGAGATAGTCTCAATTTTCCTGCCCGCCCAGGGCTGGAGTGCATGGTGCCATCTCCGTTCACTGCAACCTCTGCCTCCTAGGCTCAAGCGATTCCTCACGTCAGCCTCCAAGTAGCTATACTGGACTCAGTTGTACCACCATGGCTGGCCTAATTTTTGTTTTGGTTTGGTTTTACAGAAAGTTTTTGCCATGTGCTCCAGCTGGCCCCCCGTCCATTCCTCTTTTTCTCCTAACCCTACCTATTCTCTCCCAGCCACTTTATTCTCCACCTGGCACGGTATGGCTTCTTGATGCCCGCTGTCTGTCCCCCCCTCGCTAATGTCACTCCATCAGCCAAGGGCCTTGTATTGGCTGCCTTCTGTTTCCGCGCCTAAGAACCAATGTCCAACCCCACAAAATATTTTTCTTTAATGAGAAAAAGAACTGGCTTCAAGAACCTCAGTGCTGATCTGGCCAGGCCCAGACCCCAGCCAACCAACAGAAAAGTCCAGCCCTCTTCCACGGCTAGGGGCCTCAAGTTGCTT